TGGGGGGGCCGCCCAGAGGCCTTGGATAGGCTCTCACGCCCACCTAGGAGCTTTCCGTGGTGCTGAACGGGCCTGGACTTCTAGGCCTCTAATCTGCTGGGTCCCAGGGTGGACTCGGAGGAGACTGGGCTCTGGCAAGTTTCCCCTGCCTTCTTCTTGCCTTCACACACAATCACACACAGCATCCACCCCCAACCTGCAACCCCAATAAGAGACTGGGAATCTTTTTTTTTTTTTTTAAGTAGTGTTATTTATTTATTTATTTTTGAGGTAACATTGGTTTATAACATTATATAAATTTCAAGTGTACATCATTATATTTCGATTTCTGTGTAGATTATATCATGTTCACCACCCAAAGACTAATTACAGTCTATCACCATACACATATGTGAACCACCCCTTTCACTCTCCACCCTCCCCCCTTCCTCTCCAGTAACCGCCAATCTAATCTCTATATCTACGTGTTTGTTGTTGTTGTTGTCTTTATCTTCTATTTATGAGTGAGATCATCTGGTATTTGACTTTCTCCGTCTGACTTATTTCGCTTAGCATAATATCCTCAAGGTCCATCCATGTTGTTGCAAATGGCAAGATTTCATCCTTTTTTATGGCTGAGTAGTATTCCATTGTGTATATATACCACATCTTCTTTATCTATTTGTCCCTTGATGGGCACTTAGGTTGTTTCCAAGTCTTGGCTATTGTGAATAATGCTGCAATGAACATAGGGGTGCATGTATCTTTACGCATTCATGTTTTCATGTTCTTTGGATAAATACCCAGCAGTGGAATAGCTGGATCATACGGTAGTTCTAGTCTTAAGTTTTTGAGGAATCTCCATGCTGTTTTCCATAGTGGCTGCACCAGTTTGCACTCCCACCAGCAGTGAATGAGTGTTCCCTTTTCTCCACATCCTCTCCAACACTTGTTATTTCTTGAGACTGGGAGTCTTGAACCGCTCTTCCCATTCCCAAGTCCTCATCCCTTCTTGGGGAGGCGATAGGAATCCCCCTTGGCATGGAAATTCCACTCAAGTGTTCCAGCAAGTGTTACGTGGTGTTTGAAAGTGCCTATTGGAATTTACACCCTCACGCGTCTCATTTTGTGACATGTTGGAGTTATCCCTCTACATGCTGTTACCTGTCCCATGAGGGTTGTTACGAGGATTAAAAGGATTAATATTTGTGAAGATGTTAGAACTGTGCCTGCTACTTTGCAAGTATTATTTGTTGAGTAAATTTTAAAATGATATGGCAGGGCCGGCCCCGTGGCTTAGCGGTTAAGTGCGCGCGCTCCGCTGCTGGCGGCCCAGGTTCGGATCCCCGGGCACGCACCGAGGCACCGCTTCTCCTGCCATGCTGAGGTCGCGTCCCACATACAGCAACTAGAAGGATGTGCAACTATGACATACAACTATCTACTGGGGCTTTGGGGGGAAAATAAATAAATAAAATCTTTAGGAAAAAAAATGATATGGCAGCAAACACTCATATGGCACTCACCCTGTGCCAGGCACTGCTCTGAGGGCTTTACATGCCTTGGCACACTTAATCATTACTTCTACCCCGTGAAGTAGGTACTATGACTATCCTCATTGATAGATTAGGAAATGGAGGGAAGGAGAAGTTATATCATATTCCCAAGGTCACCATCTAGGAAGGGTCGAGCTAGGAATTCAACCCAGGCAACCTGGCTCCAGCACCTATATACTTGGCCATTTTGCTTACCTGCTGTCTAATAATTTGTGGCTGTCCCATATGGTGTTCAGGTTGTGCACTGCAAAATTCCAAGTGATACCATTCACCTCCTAGATATTAGAGATTTGCATTTTACCACAACTTCCCAGCAGATGGCAGTAACATGCCATGTTCTATTGTCAGCATAGCACACAATTTTCGGGCAGATGGCTTAGGAGGAATTATTTGTAATTCTCCCAAAGGACCTATGAGCTCTAGGAGGCTCTTCATAATATATACATGTAAATACAGGTCATGTATATTAAATATAGACCTAGAGGTATTGGGAGGAAGATGCCTACACGATGCAAGTTGGATACAATGCCACAGCTTCATTACAGAACCCAGTGCACAGCATCGTTCTGATCCTGGTTATACCTCACTTGTATTCCGACGACGCCAGCAGAAATCTATGGCCGGCATCATGGGCAGGAGAAAAAGCTGCCTTCGTGTTTTCACAGCCAAGGGTGATCAACAGGCCAACAATGGTGTGGAGTTCCAAGTAGGCGGGATAGGAAACGAAAGGCAGTTTCGCTCCACATGCTCAGCGCGTGATTCTTTAATAATGTTTACATTTTAATGGCAATACTTAGAGTAATTCATTTAAAAACACTATTATTGAAATTTCAGCAGGAAAAATAACCTTGCTGTTCCTCATTTGATGCTCTTGTGCCCCAAAGCCATCCCTGTTTTCCCACTGAGAACGATTTATTAATTCTTTGAATAACGCGAAGTTTCTTAGAGACAGTTTATCACGTTAGTGGTATGTGTGTGTATGGATACCTGTTGGGATATACATCTTATATGTCAACAGTATCTAAAAAGCTGTTAACAATTAGAAATACCATTATTTTATGAACCACAAAGGAAAAAAATGCAGAAATTATGCCACACAATTGACTATAAGATGAATTTCAATTAAGTTCTTCTTAGAATTGATGAACTATGACATATTCCTATGAATTTTTAATGGCAATACTTAGAGTAATTCATTTAAAAACACTATTATTGAAATTTCAGCAGGAAAAATAACCTTGCTGTTCCTCATTTGATGCTCTTGTGCCCCAAAGCCATCCCTGTTTTCCCACTGAGAACGATTTATTAATTCTTTGAATAACGCGAAGTTTCTTAGAGACAGTTTATCACGTTAGTGGTATGTGTGTGTATGGATACCTGTTGGGATATACATCTTATATGTCAACAGTATCTAAAAAGCTGTTAACAATTAGAAATACCATTATTTTATGAACCACAAAGGAAAAAAATGCAGAAATTATGCCACACAATTGACTATAAGATGAATTTCAATTAAGTTCTTCTTAGAATTGATGAACTATGACATATTCCTATGAATTCTTCATGGGTCAGCTGCCACTACGTGAGAAGACAGAAGGTCACACGCCTGCTGGTACAAGGCAGCTGATGTGGGAGACTTACACTGGTGGCCCCTAATAACTGCACCTCCCAATATTCATGCCCTTGGGTAGTGCTCCCTGGCCACAGAGTCTGGGCTCGGTCACGTGACTGGCTTTGGCTAATGGGAGGACAGCAAGCGTGATGCAAGCAGGGCCTTGTTCTCTGGGAACATTCCCTCTTGGAGCTCCCGTGTGAAGAGATCCACCTACCCTCCTGCAGAGACCACATGGCGAGAGATGCTCAGCCCATTTCTGGCAGCTCCAGACATCTCAGCTGAGCCATCAGACAAGTCGGTGAAATTGCCCAGCCCAATCGGGCCTCCAGCTGACAGCAGCCTCATGAGTGACTGAAGCAAGATAGCAGAACTGCCCAGCTGAGCCCAGCCCAGGTTGCAGAATCACGAACAAATAAGTGGTGATCATGTTAAGCCTTAAATTCTGGGGTGGAGACACTGGCACATCCCCTCAAGTGTGCTTGGTTTGTTGGCCCTGAGGCTCTGAGCAGTGGGGAGCTATGGTGGGTCAGAGGGCTTTGTGGGGTGACAAGTTTGGGATGGATGCCGAGCAGAGGCTGTGGGACAGGTATGAGAAGGGGGTATTGTGGAGGTCTTCTGTTCTCATTTGGGTTTCTCCAGAAGCAGATGCTGAGGCAAGGATTTGAGGACAAGAGTATGTGGAAGGGGTGGAGAACAACATTGGTAGGGTGGGTAGGAAGTGACACAGAAAAGGGAAAGCAGCCAAGAAAGGGTAGTTTTTAAGCGAGAACCACTGTGGGGACTGGAGCTTAATTCTGCTGGGGAACTTGGAGAGCCAGTGCAGAACATGCACTTCCGAGCTCTCCCACAGCAGTGAGGGACCTGGGGTATTTATTTATTTATTTATTTTCCCGAAAGCCCCAGCAGACAGTTGTATGTCATAGTTGCATATCCCTCCAGTTGCTGCATGTGGGACGCGGCCTCAGCATGGCCGGGGAAGCAGTGCGTCGGTGCGCGCCCAGGATCCGAACCCGGGCCGCCAGCAGCGGAGCGCACGCACTTAACTGCTAAGCCACGGGGCCGGCCCTCCTGGGGTATTTATACACCGTCTCCTGTTGGTCCCTGGTGGAGGGAGTGGGAGTGGGAAGTGGCAGGGACTCCCTGGCATTTAAGGCTTGCACACTCACGCCCAGGGCAGAGCAGGCACCAGTGGTCTGAGAATGCCCACAGGCAAAGATTCGCGTGCTGGCCCCAGCGGTCAGACCACCAGGTGTTGATGGCGTGAGGGTGACGGGTATGGCCTTGGCACCCACAGTGTCTGCCACGCAGCCCCCCCCCCCGGCACAATCATCCGAACACGACCCCTCAGCCAGGCACCACAGCCACTCCCCTGCACCAAAGCCCCCAGAGATCAGACAACACCGGTTCTAGTCCAAATTGAGTTTAATAGAGAGTTTCAGACAGGGGAGGGATTCACCAAAACAGAGGTCTGGGACAGGGCCCAGGTGAGCTCTGACTTAGAAAGCAGGAGGACCCAGGGGACTCTCAGCAAGGAGAGTCCTTCCTACATCTCAGGGTTAAGGACCTGCGGGGGTGGGTCCTGGGGAGGTTGCGGGTCTACAGGGATGGTACTGGGAGCTGTTTTGAGATGCCCCAAGTACCATGTAGGGGCATTACATCTGGGGTTCCAGGTGTGAAGAGCTAAATTAGAGGAGGGGACCCCTAAAGATCCCGGTGGGGAAAGGGTTAGGGGTCCAGGGTGTTTCACAGAAACAATCAAGGGGCCTCGATTTCACAGAAATCATTAAGGGGGCTCCTTGTGGGTAGGGGAGGGGGTATCACACCACCCCAAATATTGGGGCCTGTTTACCCCCCCCAGCAGCCATTTTGGGGTTTTAATGTAAGACCCCAATGGCAGGACATTCCACATACATTATCACGGGTTTGCAACATTAGCATACGCTGGCTGTCCCACAGGACGGTGGGGACTGGAAAATCAGTCCAGGGTCTGGGTTTGCGTCCTAAGAGGACAGGCCTGGGGGTGCCACACGGCTCCTCTTCAGTAGCTGCCGGAGCTGTGGACAAAACAGGGCAGACGGAGAAGTTTGGGAGGTTGCCAGGAGAGGTGGGGGAGGCACCCTGCGAAGTTGGGGGTTAGACAGGGTGAGTGGGGTCGGCCGGGTTTGAAGGTCAGGTTCAAAGACAAGATTTGGAGTTGGGGTGAAGGTTGGGTTTTGCACATTGAGTAAAGGCTCGGGAGCCAGAATGGGGATGAAGGGAAAGGTGTTGGTCAGGGGTCCCACTTTGGGGTTAGCATTGAGGACTGGGAGTCAAAGAGTAGAGGCAAAGAGTCAGAGGTCATATTTGGGGGTCAGAAGTCCCACTCTGAAGTAAGGACTCAGGGTTAGGGGCAGAAGGTTGAAGGTCATACTTGGGGGTCAAAGGTCACACCTGAGGTCAGGATTCAGGGTTGGAAGTAGAGGACACTGAGGTCAGAGTTGAAGTAGACATAAGGAAGGAGTCACTATTACAAGGTAAGTGATCAGCCACTGGGGTCAGAGGTCACATTTTGCAGTCAGGGTTGGATAAGGGTCAGGAATGGGTGGGGTCAGGAACGGGTTAGGTCAGAAGCCACTCTGCAGTCAGGGTGGGCTCAGTGCTCACCCCCTCGGGGCCAGGCCCGGGCCGCAGCAGGTGGACAGGCTGCTCGTTCTCCAGGTTGCGCAGGGTTGGATCCGCCCCAGCTGCCAGCAGGCGCCGCACGATGGCCTCCTGGGGCGGCCCAGAGGGCAGGGCGGCTGCCATGTGGAGGGCTGTGTTCCCATGGGCCTGGGGACAGTGAGGGGAGGGCGGTTAGGGATTCAGAGCCAGCTGGCCTGGGCCCTCAACATCACACTTCACATTCTGCCACAGCCACGTCCCACATGCCCCCTTTCACCTCCCAGCTCCCCTTCCCAACCACATTCCACACACCCCTCTGTCCATGTCCTGCATCCCCCCAATTCACGTTCTCATGCTACACAGTCCCCATCCACATCCCATACATTGTCCCCTCCACAGCCACAGCCCACAGGACTCCCAACATCCCACTGCCCCTCTCTGCCATATCCCACAGTCTGCACATTCCAGCCCAGGCCCCCACCTTCATGTTGACAAAAGCCCGCAGGTCTCCCCGTGGCAGCTCCAGCAGCAGCTGAACCAGGGTAGGGTTGGCAGCCTGCACGGCCAAGTGCAGAACTGTCTTGTTGCTCTTGATCTCCTGGAGGGAGGGGAACAGCAGAGGTCAGGCCAGTCCTCAGACCCAGGCCCCCTCCCACAGAACCCAAGAGCCTTCAGAGGCCCTGTCTCTTCCTTTGCAAGCACCCAGGGGTGCCTTATACAGTTGTATGTGTTGTGCACTATTCAAAAGTACCATGTCACATACATTATAGAACTATACATCTATTATGACAATTTTCCAGCCCAGGTGTCTTTGAGAAAAAGGCTCCTTTTCTAATCCTCCAAAGGAGCTCTCTGGGCTAGCAGCTGCCCTGGCCACCACATTCTATTCAGCACAGTAAAATGCACCAACATCCCACATGGACTGTACTTTATCTACAAGGATGGGAGTTGAGCCGCGGACTGACTAAGCCTATATCCACTTCCATATTGAGCTGTTCTCTTCATATTTTGGAGCAAATAAAGACATTTTCTACAACGAAACTCTATTATGTGTCTTTAAAGAGTTTGTAATGATAATGAAGATAAAAAAATTTGTGTTTATACAGGGCAAAACAACCAAATAAATTTGGCTCAACAAATAAATTACGAAGAGAAAACCAAGAGACAGAGGGGAAGCTCTAAATTAAGAGCAACTTAAAAAGACATAGAATTGCAATATTTGGGCTTTATTTGGATCCTAGTATTTTTAATGAAAAAAATAAATGTACGTCACATCAGAGCCAAATGGAAATTTGAATGCAGTCAGGATATTTGATATTATGAGATTGTTAATTTTTTTTAACGTAGAATAATGATATTGAGGTTAAAAGGATTTCTTATCTTTTAAAGACACACAAATATTTATGGATAAAATGATATGCTTGGGGGCCAGCCCAGTGACGTAGTGGTCAAGTTCACGTGCTCCACTTTGGCCGCCTGAGGTTCGCCGGTTCGGATCCTGGGTGCTGACCTACACATCATTCATCAAGCCATGCTGTGGCGGCATCCCACATACAAAAGAGAGGAAGACTGGCACAGATGTTAGCTCAACAACAATCTTCCTCAAGCAAAAAGAGGAAGATTGGCAACAGATGTTAGCTCAGGACCAATCTTCCTCAAAAAAAAATTTATATGCTTGGATTTGCTTAAAAATAATATAGGAAAGTGAAGGAGTAGATGGGGCAGGACTGGCTATGGGTTGCTGGTTATTGATGTCGGGTACATGGAGTTCACCATATTATTTTCTGTACTTTAGCTGTGTTCAAAATTCTTAAAAAAAAAAAACACAACAATAAGTGGATGTTTATTTTTCTCAGGTAGTCTGTGAAGGAGCTACTGTCAGGGGAAGGAGGATAACAGAATTGTTAAGAGCTGGATTCTGGGATCAGACCAGCTGGGTTCCTAGCCCCTCTCTGACACTCACAAGCCATAAGATTTTTGACTCCTGCTGCCTCAGTTTCCTTAGTAAGATAGAGAAAGTAATAATAGGACACATGTCAAAGGGTGTCTGTGAGGATTCAATTAGCTAATCCACGAAACTCAGGGTTTGATGAATAGTCAGCACTTAATAAATATAAGCCAATATCAGTAATATTATTCCCAGTTGACAACTGGGGCACAGAGAAGTGAAGTAACGTGCTCAAGGCCACACAGCTGAGAAGAGGCAGAGTCAGTGTCTCTTTGGAGCCCCTGGACAGCCAGGTGCCCTCACCCACACGCCCTCCAAGGGGCCGGCTGCCCGCAGCCCGGCTCACCTGGCTGGTGTGATCCGCGCCCATGTGCAGCAACATCTGGACGCAGGCCAGCCTGTCTCGGGCCTGGGTACTCAGCACGCGGGGACACAGGTCGGGTGGGTGCATAGCCACGTTGAGGGCCAGGATGGCTGTGTGGAGGGGTGTGAGGCCTGCCGAAGGGAGACAGTGAGGGTCTGCAATCAGAGCACCCGCCCCGCCCGCCAAGCCAGCCCTGCCCACCGCCCAGCTTACCCTCGAAGTCTCTGGCTTCTAGATCAACCCGAACGCCTGAGTTAATCACAGCCTGGGAGGCAGAGAAGGCAATGAGCTGTATTAGTGTCTCCCCAGGCCTCCCAGCCCTGGAAGCCAGGCTCCGGGCAACGAGTCCACCCCATTCCCCCCACTGCCAGCTGGCCATACCGAGAGGACTCCTGGGAGCCCATAGGTAGCAGCCACGTGCAAGACAGAGCGTCCCTGATGGTCAGTGGCATTGGGCTCCGCCCCCAAGTTCAGCAGATCCTCCACAATCAGGGGCTGGTTGGCGGCAGCAGCCACCAGGAGAGGAGTCTGCAGGTGACAGGAAAGGTCAGTCTGGACCCCCAGCCCCCTCCTCTCTGAAAACCGGGCAGCCAGGCCCCCAGCCCCTCTGCCCTCAGCTCCAGGAGTCCAGGCCCCCAGCCTTCACCTTGCCCTTGTGCTCACGAATGTCCAGATGTCTGTACACTTGGAGCATCTCAGCTGCAGCATACGCTGCCCAGCGCAGGCCGCGAGCTGCAAACAGGTGCAGGAGCCTGAGGACAGGAGGGGGCGGTAGTGAGCACAGCTGCCCAGCAGAGGCGGGAGCCTGCAGACCCCATTCCCCTATACTCACGTGTCTCCCTCCTCATCCTGGGCCAGCAGCTGTTGGGGCCCCAAAGCCAGCATGTGAGCACGGGCTGCATCCAGCGATGGTCCAGTGACCACAGGGGGCAACTGTGGGGGTCCTGAGGGGAGTCCGGAACCTCTCCAGGATCCCGCCTGTGGCAGGGACGGTTCTGCATAGAGCCGGGTATCCAGGGGGTCCTGGAGGGCGCACGTGGTAGGAACAGCCAGTCAGCTAATTCCCTCTTGCCAGCCCACCACACACACGCACGCATAGAGAGCACCAGCAGAGTGGCTGGGATTCCCATCTGTCCCAAGTGATCTTGGACCTTTGGGCCTCAGTTTTGCCCATCTGAGGAATGGGTTCTTAACCCAGCCCTAGACATCTCAGAGTGCTGCATGAGGGCAACTGGGAATTTCAGGGGCCCTTCAGCATCCTGCTCCCGCTCTGTATCTCACCTCCATCCCCAGGGGAAATGGACACGGCCGCCCTGGGTCCGAAGGTGGGTAGAAGTCAGGAGTCAGGAAACCGTCAGCAGCAGCAGCAGGGTAAGAGTAGGGGCTGTCTGTGTAGGCAGCATGTGTGGTGGGGTCCCAGTCCGGAAAGCCCGTGGGGGGTGCCAGGCTGCCAAGTCCAGAAGCCACGGTCTCCTGGTGAGCTGGGAAGTGGGTATGGCCTGCGGGTGAGAGGAAGAGCAGGGGCAGGCCTGGTTACAGAGTTAGGGAAGTCACGGCCAAGGCTGGAGGCCCAGGGTGAGGCCTGGAGTCTCCCAACGGATTGAAAGCTAGTACTTCTGGGACACTGAGGGGCTGGGACCTAGAACCCTGGGATACCAAAGGGCTGGAAGCTGGAACTTCTGGGAGCCTGGGCCCCAGGGACACCGAAGGACTATGTGCGTAGACTACCGGGCTCCAGAGGATCTAGGGCATCAAACTTTTAAGAGGTCCCAGCAAGAATGAGCGCCTGACTCCCGCATTCCCAAAGGTTCTACGAGTTGGGATGCTTGAGTCCCTGAGGGAAGCCGGGAGTTGAGGGAACCAGGTGAGCTTCCAGACTTACCGGCCTCACCCTCATTCACAGATGGAGTCAGGGGCTGGGCCAGGGGAGGCGGGAACTGTCCCTGTGGAGGCATAAGCAAAAAGGCACAAGGGTGAATTTATCCGCAGATTCCTCGGCATCCACTCCCCACCTGTAGGGCATCTACGCCAGGCCTGCATCTCTCATCAGCTCTGAGGGCGGCAAGCCAGCAAGTCCCCGCCTAAACGGACAGGGCTTCATGGGCCTCACCGGTGCCCCACCAGCGTCAGGCTGCTGCTGGCGGCGCCTCTGTTCTTCCAGGAGCTTCTTCACGGTCTGCGACGGGCAGTGGCTGCGCTCACTCCGGCTCACTGCGGGGGAGGGGAAGTAATCCGGGGTCCTTAAGTCACCCGAGGGCGCGGAGGAGTGGATTTGGGCGCCCTCCCGCGCGGAAAAACTGGCACACGATGCCGCCTGAGAACTCCAAAGCCAATCTAAAATTTCGGGTGCGGCGGCCGCCTCCGCCGTTTCCTTCCTTTTGCTCTGCACTTTCCCCTCTGACCCAAGTTTCCACCAGCGTCGTGGAAACTGAGGAAGGGGGAGGAGGGCGCCCCTCTGAGCACCCCCCTCACTTCCGTGAAAAATCCCACCTCCCAGATCTCCCAGATCTGAGGCCTGGCAGGGGTCGCCGGGCATCACTCCCTGGAGACGCACATCCAGGCTCCCAACATCTCTCTGCCCTAGAAGCGGACCTGATACTCCTTCCTCGGGAAACCGGGCATGCGAGTCCCCGGCCCCTCTCCCAGAGGAAGCACGAGTCAATAGCCTCCTAGCTCAACAGGGATCCAGGGGTCCAGACCCCGCGCCCCTTCAGACCCCGCAGTCCAGGCCCCTCCCGCAGGAGTCCGGGAGCCTAGTACCCCTTCCCCAGGACCCAGGAGTCTGGGCTCCTCCTCCCTAGGACCTGGGAGTCCGTTTCCAGACGCCTCGACCCAGGAAGCCCGGGCCCGCAGCCCTCACCCTCCAAGCCCGGTTTCGGCGGAGGAAGGGTTAAGCGGCGGGGGGAAGGGGGGCAGACTCGGAAACAGATGCGACGCGCTGACGTCACGGCGCTCACGCAAGGGAATCTTCCATCTCCCCTTCCTCTCCGGGTCCCGCGCCCAGGTGTCCGACCCGGGGCGGGGCGCGCGGCCGAGCGTGGCGCTCATGGAATCCCCGCACGTGGGGAATTCCTGCTCGGCCCGGGGACCCCGGACCGGTGGCGACTCGGGAAATCCCGGGGCCAGGGCGGGTCACGGCCGGCGTGGACCCCTGCGGCCAGGACCGCGACCCTCCCCACCGAGACCCGGGCTGGTTTGCAACAACCACGCCCCCGACGACTCAGGCCGGCCTCGCTCTCTGGGGCAAGGAGTCCGCGCCGCCAGCCCCATCCTCCCTCGGGACTCAGGGGTCCGGGCTCCCAGCCCTTTCCGCGCGGGACCCACGACTCCGGATTCCCATACCCTACCCCCCAGGACCCAGGAGCCCAGAATCCCAGCCTCTTCTCCATCACGACCCAGGGGTCCGGGCCCCTGCCCCCTTCTAACACCGGCTACCCTCACTCCCAGGACCCAGGACCTGATGCTCCAGCTCCGTCCCTAGATCCCCCGGAGCACCCCTCCCAGCCCCTCACTCTCCCACCCGCCGAGCTCGCCGCTCCTCCCTGCCCCCACTTACCTCGGGGATTCCGGGGCGCGGAGTGCAGGCCCCCAGGGCCCCGGCCTCGGCGCTGCGCCAGCCTCGCTGTTTCCCCGCGGAGCCGCCGCCGGGTCCCCGATCTTGGGTCCGGTCCCCCGCGAGTTTTTAAACGAGGGTTCTGGCACCGCCCTGTGCTGGGCAGGGTCCCGCCCACAGGCCCGGGAGTCCCCGCGTCGCGCTCCAGCAAACCCCGGCTCTGAAGGGGCGGGGCTGACTTTGAGGGCCCGACTCCTGAGTCTCCCCGGAAAGAGGGAGCCGGGGACCCCATTTTTGGTGTGAGGTAGAAGGGGCCTGGGGTGGCGGACTGCTGAAGGAGGAGGGCCCTGGGGACCTGGACTTCTGGGTCTCTGTCCAAGTGGGTGCAGGAGGCCTCGACAACGGGGGCCCTGGTCTGGGGGCTGGGGGACAGTATTACTGGGTCCTGAGGGCGGGGGGGCTGGGGTCCCGACTCCCTGATCTGGAGGGAGGAAAGGTCTGTTGGTAAGAGTGATCTAGGTGGACTCAAATTTCTCCCTCTTCCTCACATCACCTTTTTTTCCCAGAGGCCGGTTCTCATTCCTTCATCATTTAAAATAATGTATTACCGCAGGGGGGTACTTGGCTGGGCGCTATGGTGTTGCTGTGAACTAAGCAGGCAGGAATTCCCAGCCCTCAAGCCCACTGACATCCCAGTGGGTGGCTCCTTTTCGGTTCCCATCTTGGTGGCCATCCACAGCACTGGCCATGTCAATCATATTTCTCCCCTGCTCTCAAGACTCCCTGCTTCCCGGTTCTCCTTCACTCACTGCTCTTTCTTGGTTTTCCTGGCTGTTTCCTCCTCTTCACCCATTGTGGGGGGGTAGGGTGCTCCTCTGTCTGTACTCACTTCCTTGGTGATTTCATCCAGTCTTGTGGCTTTAAATACCATCCATAGCCATCAGCCCCTAAATTTACATCTCCAGACCAGACTTATCCCCTGAGCTCAGAGGCAGCTGTGGTCATTCAACTTCTCCACAGGGAGATCTAGCAGACATTTCCAACTCAGTGTGCCCAAACCTCGGGCATTTTCCCCCTAAACCTGCTTCCCCTCCTTCTCCAGCCTGTCAAAGGATGCTCCATCCTTTCGGTTGCTCAGGCCAGAAGCTTTGGTCATCCTGGATTCCTCTCTCTCATACACACCCATATCCACTCCCTCAGCAAGCTCTACCTCCAGAATCTTTCCAGACTCTCCCCAGTGCCCACACCCTGGTCCACCTGTCACCTCCCACCTGGACAATCGTAGCAGCCTCCCTGGTCTCTCTGACCCTCCCCCCAGTTTGTCCCTGAAGGCAGTCACAGGGACCTGCCGCCTCTCACCCTCCCACACACACCACGCCGGAAGCAGGTGGCTTTGCCTCCAGCAGGGTGACATCCGCTGTTGCTGCCTCTCTACTGCCCCGCTGTTCCTCAGGACTTCTCTGGACCAAAGCCCTTTGCCAGACCCCTTCCAGCCCTCACCCATCATGGTCCCTCCAGGCAACATCCTGCTCCTGCTTTTACTCCCAGGTGAAGCCAGAGGTTATGGGGGGTGGCAGGCGGAGTATTTGTGAAAGGGGCGGCTTGGGTGGCATCTGAAGGAAGGAAGTACTCAGGGTGGGTCCTTCTCGCAGTACCCCTTCATGTCCCTTCCCAGAGATCCATTCAGCTTTGGACCTGGTTCTTGGGGGCAGGAGGGGAAGCTGAGTCTGGAGTGGCTGCCTGTAAATCTCCCCTTCCCACTGCTGGCTCTCTGCCTCTACTTCCGATTTTCTGTCTCTCTCTGTGTCTCCGGGAGCTCCCCTCCCCACCTGACCCTCTTCCTCATTTGATCTCTCTGGAGTGGGGTTACAGGACATCACCTCTCCCTGCGCCCTATTTGGGAACCACCTCTCCCCACTGATCCACCTTCCTTCTCTTTCCACAGTGGCTGCAGCTCAGATGACCCCAGGTGAGAAATCGACACTCTTCCCCTTTGCCATGCCACTTCGGGGACTGCTGGCATCCCTAAAGTGTGTCCTGAGGGCCCTGGAACACCCCCAGTGACTCTCCAGGTCACCGTCTCACCTCTCATTGCAAAGCAGAGCTCCGGGAGGATCTGCAGCCTTCTCTGGGGCCCGTCTCATTGCCCTCATTGCCAGATTGAAGCCCCAGGGACTTGGCCACCCCCAAGCCTCTCTTCGGCAGGACCCACTATGCCCAAAGCACAGCCCTGGGAGTCCTGAGACCCCTCAGTTTCTCCCCTTTCATCCCTAAGCCCCCAGGGAATCTGTGACACCCCCTCCGCATCTTCCTTTGCCCCGTATGCCCAAAGCACAGCCCTGCGGGTCTGGAGCCCCCTCAGCCCCCTCTTGTGTTGGCCCCCACCCTCAGGTTCCTGTTCTGGGTGTGGACCCCTCTCCCTGCCGCTCCTGGCAGGCCTCGTGGCTGCCGATGCGCTGGTGTCGCTGCTGATCGTGGCGGTGGTATTTGTGTGTGCACGCCCCCGAAGCAGGCCCACCCAAGGCGAGGGTAGGGGCAGGGTGGGGCCTGGAGGGGGGTGTCCCTAGGGAGGGGGGTGTCCCTAGGGAGGGGGTCCCCAGGGAGGCAGCCCCGGGGAAGCCCTGGAGGCGGTGCTGGGGAAACCCTGGGGGTGGTGCTTGGGGGAACCCCTGAGGAAACCCCGAGGCAGGGGGTCCCCAGGGAGGAGGGGATGTGGGTGAGCAGTGGGTGGTCAGGCCTCATGCTTTCTCTCCCCCACCCCCAGAAGATGGCAAAGTCTACATTAACATGCCTGGCAGGGGCTGAGCCCCCTGTAACTGCAACCTTTGACTTCTGACCCTCTCACCCTGGATTGTGTGGCAGCACAGAAAACCCACCCACCCTCTTTGGGTTGCTTTGGAATAAAGCAGTTGAAATGCCTCTAGTTCTAATTCTTATTCAGAGAACCCCAGGCTCCCCAAAGCTTCCATCCCATTTAGCTATTTCTGGGTCCATGACTTTCCCCCAGAACCCCACATATCCCCATCCCCGCAGCCCATGGATCTGGAATAACTCAACAGTGTTTTCGTGTTCCATGTTTATTTGGGGGCAGTGGTGGGGAAAGGTCTGATATCTCAGAGGGCACTCTGTGGATCTGTATCTTTGTGGGAGTAGGAATAGGGTGCTAAGTAGGCATCAGGAATGACTGGATCCAGGCATCAGGTTGTTGACTGCCATGGTTTGGGCTCATTTGTAATACGGCCTCTGTGTGTTGAGGTCGCTGTAGACATCTGTCCTCTGACCTTGGAGCTCCTAAAGGGATGAACGGGGTGAGGATCATCAGTGGAAGGGGTCCACTGAAGAAACTTAAAACAAAATCCAGCCTTCTCCCAGAAGCTCCCCTGGCAGCTTCTTCAGCCTTGCAGCCATGGAAAAGATCTGGGTTTTATTCAAGTGCATTCAATGTTCCCCTTCTCCTCTGCCTTAATCATTATGCCCCAGGCTCAGGGCCTTCGCACACGCTGTTCTCTTTGCCTGGAACACTGGTCCTCTAGATATTCCTACAGATGGTTCCTTCTCCCCCTTCAAGTCTCAGCTTAGGTCACTTCCTCAGAGACGCGTTTCCTGATTTCTCCATCTGCGGTGTCTTCCCCACCCCCCAGTCACTGTCACATCAGCCCGCTTTATTTCTTGCGTGATGCCTCCCCAGAACAATCTCATCTGTTAATATGCTTCCTGTCCATCTCCCCAGCTAGGACGTAAGTTCTGCTGCTGTGTCCCCAGCATCAGCACATATAGCTGCTTGACAAATCCCAGCAAAGGCATGAATACATTGGAGTGAGGCTTGGCCCTAAAATCTCACTGCCCCCAGGAACTGGAAAGCCCCTTCAGTCTCCTGGACCTCACAGAGCCAAACTCGAGATTCTCACACTTTACAAAGAGACTGTTTATCCACAAGTGAGGCAAAGCGAAGCTGGGTGCAGATACGTAAAACAGACTTCACAGAGCAGGACTCAGAACTAGGGGGAGGGTCTATGGCCCCAAGAGGCAGCCCTCAGACAGAATCCCTGAAATCATATGCAAATAGCAGTCTGGATGTGCATCTTTATGGGGAGGGGGCTGTTTGGCCTCCATTAGAGTCTCAGAGGAGCCCGTGACCCCTGAAAAGGTTAAGAATGGTGCTGACAGAGGCAGGAGATGGAAAGATGCCTCTGCTGCATCGTGGTTCTTAAGAAGGGTTTTGAGGACACTTGCACTGCCCCTAGATTATATGCACAATTTTGCATTTTTGGTATGGATTTTTCTGAGGAGGCTCTAGCTTTCATCAGCTTCTCAAAGGGACAATGATCCCTCCCCCAAAAATTCTAGGGGCCAGCCCAGTGGCATAGTGGTTAAGTTTGTGTGCTTCACTTCCGCGGCCCGGGGTTCACAGTTTCAGATCCCGGGCGTGGACCTACACACCATTTATCAAGCCATGCTGTGGCAGGCGTCCCACATATAAAATAGAGGAAGATAGGCACGGATATTAGCCCAGGGCCAATCATCCTCAGCAAAAAGGGGAAGATTGGCAACAGATGTTAGCTCAGGGCTAATCTTCCTCACCAAAAAAATAAAAAAATAAAAAATTCTAGAACTCTTGTTTTTAGAGTTACCAAACTAGGGCTGAATTATATCCTTATATCCCTACTGAGAGCTTCTCCAGGAAATCAGCCTATCCTGGGCTGGACTTTTCCAGAACAATCTGGAGCCTGTCCTCTGGCTGAGGCCTGCATTTGCCTTTGAAAGGTAAAGCCATCTTTCTATTTCTTCTCCACCACTAAGCTGAGTATAAGGTCATGACTGCTCATTGAAAGCAGGTTTGGAGCGCCTTCAAGGGTTTACGGAGCTGCTGGGAAAGTGGCTTCAGGGTCCCGGTTCAGTCCCAGAGGGACTGGGGGTATTCAGGACAGAAGGAGCGAGATGTTGGCTTCCTTACCTGATAAGGCGACTCCGTCTCTGTGATGCGCTGTTTCCGGGTCACTGCTGGGGGGCGGCGTGTGGCGCAGGGTGGAAACAAGGTGGTGAATTGGGACCATTTTGTTAATGTAAAATCAGCCCCTCCATCACTGTCCCTTCGGATGGTCGTGACTTGGGCTCTTACCCCTCCCCGCCCCCCCAGGCAAGCCCTCAGAGTGTCCCAGGCCATCCCCCGCCAGCCCTGCTCACCCTCCGCGGCCCCTTTCCCTTTCCCCTGAGGGACCAGGCGGCCCAGGGAGTACACGGCCAGGGCGATGAGGAGGGTCAGCACCAGGTCCCCCAGCACGATGGCCGCCAGCACACCGGGGCTCACCGTGGAACAGTTGCATTCTGGGAATGTATGTGGCACAGGGTCAGGGGTGGTCAGCAGGGGTTGGGAATTGGGAGGAGGTGTCAGCAGGGGGAGGTTTGGAGAGATTGGGGAAGGGGCAGAGATGGGAAGGTCTTTGGGAGGTGGGGAGGGGGATTGAGGGTCTAGGCCTACCGCTCTGGGCCTGGACAGGGCTGAGACCTGAGGAGAGAAAAAGAAGGTAAACTGAGGCACAGGGCTATGACTAGCAGGTGGGCATAGAAGCTGGCGAGGGTGGGTTCTGACAGCCAACAGGCGGGGGTGGAGAGCAATGTCTGTGGGACCTGTGGGCTGGCCTCAAGGCCTCTAGACTGTGTTACTTCTATACCGACTTGTCCTGTTATGACACCCATAGAGTCCCCTCCCCTGCTTCTACCGGAGGCCAGATCTTGGGGGCTCAGGCTCTGAGAGAGACCCCTAGGGTTTCACACGGCAAATAAAGGTGGATATGGAACACAGGACCCAAAGACGATATTTGACCCTTTGAGAGAAAGAAAAAAGAACCAAGATGAAAGATAAGAGAGGAATAGACAGTGACACAGATACACACAGCACAGACCCAGGACTGGGGTTTAGAGTGAAATAGGTGGGGGACAACATGGTGACCGCTGGGCCAGGCTGCCCCACCAAAGGAGGAAGTGGCTGGAAGCGAGAACTGAGGGAGGCCACTAGGAGGAGATGGGCACCTCTAGCCCCCAGCAGGAGCCTGAGCTGGGGCTGGGGATCTGCTCCTGTTCCAACCCTCCCCTTTGGTTGTCTCTTGCCACCCTGCTCCCTGCCCTGCCCCAAGCTGAGCCCAGGGACTCAGCTACAGAAGCCCCTAACTTACCACCCACAGTCAGAAGGAGAGGCAGGAGCAAAAGCCTGTTGGAGGGTCCGAGGCCCCCCATGATGCAGGCGACGCTGCTGGACACCACAGTCCAAGGGCTGCTGGGATGTGGCGCAGCGTCCAACCAAGTGAAGGAGGAAGTCTGAGGTGGGTGTTGGCAGGAGGAAGGAGGGGACAGAAGGGGAGGAGGGACAGAGACAGATAACACCAGAAAGAATCAGGCCCAGACATCCCAGAAGCCGTGCTGCAGCCCCCAAAGGCTGGACATGAAGGGCAAAGAGTACATGTGTCAACTTGACCTCCATCCCACTTAGGAGTCAGACATTGTTGTACCAGGAGGGTCAGTAGCTGGCCGTGACTGAAGCCAGTTCTGCCTCTTCCTGGCTGGGCAACCTTGAGCAAGTCACTCAACCTCTCTGGGCCTCAGTTTCCTCAAGTGTAAAATGGGAAGTAAAACAGTACCTACTTCACAGGGTGCTGTGGAGAACAAATGAGTTAACGTTTCTAGAACAGAGTCTGACACTTGTCAGCTTTTTATGAGTGCCAGTTATAATTTCTTGATAATCAGAGCCTTGATTAATCAGAGTACCACAACACCCTTCTGAGGTAGACGATCTTGTCATCTCCATTTTACAGAAAGGTAAAGACACTTGCCCAAGGTCACACGGCATATAAAGGTGGAGATGGACCCCAGGACCCAAAGACAATATTGGAACCCTTTGAGAGAAAGACAAAAGAACCAAGACGAAAGATAGGGAAGGAGAAAATGGTGGCCACGCAGAGAAGGAGGGAGAGAAATAGACAGTGACACGGACACACAGCACAGACCCAGGACTGGGGTTTGGAGTGAAGCAGGTGGGGACAACGTGGTGACCGCTGGGCCGGGCTGCCCCACCAAATGAGGAAGTGGCTGGAAGTGAGAACTGAGGGAGGCCACCAGGAGGAGATGGGCACCTCTAGCCCCCAGCAGGAGCCTGAGCTGGGGCTGGGGAAGGAGGAACCTGAGGTTAGGGCGCATGGGGGATGGGCCAATGGCAGGAAGCCCTCCTCCTCCGTCCAGGCGTCATGCCCCACGGCTCCCTGGGCCTGGGCTCAGGAGAGAAAAGGGGAAACTGGATGCTGGTCATGGGACAGACAGTGAGTGGCCTGATGTGGGGGGAGGGGAGTTGAGTCCCGAGGAGGGTCAGGGCCCAGTTGGAGGCACACTGGCTGCTACTGGCCGCCATTGCCCTGTCCTGAGTCCTGTCGCTAAAGACCCAATACCCCACCACCACTACCACCACCACCACAACCAGGTGCGGAGTGAGGCCCCACAGGCACACCAGGCCTCTCCAGATGGCTGAAGCCAAGTGAGCCAGGGGCCATCAGAGACCAGAGGAGGCTCTGAGCCAGGAAGGCCTTGGTCTGACCCAGCTGCTCCCGGCTCCCTGTGGCTGGACATGGGGACAGACTCGGGGGGCAGGGACAGGAGCAGGAGCCAGGCTGCTGCGATGGTCCACTTGATTGCGAGGATTTTGTGAGGTCAAGCAAAATAATGCCTGCCCGGCACCGTGTGTATGCTCAATGACTGTTAATCAGTGTCATCGTCATTAGTGTCATTGTTATTAGAACTTCAAGGCTCCAGTTCTGGGCTCACCTTGATAACGATCATCCCTCAGCCTCCCAGCCTCAGCCTCCTGACCTGCTCCTGCCCGGTCCAGCCAGGCCTCGGCTGGCCCCAGGATTCAGTCTAATAGCCAGCAC